CCCAGAATTGACGCAAGGTGGTGGGCTGGAAATCCAGTTCACAGCCAAGGCACACATTGACCCACGTTTACGTTTGTATTATGGCCGCCAAAAATGAAGAAAAATATATTTTTAATTTGATTCAACAGCTATCTGCAGAACCATTAGCGAAAAAAATATGAGCTACGACGTATGTTTGTGAACGCGCGATGCTGTAGTATGATCAAAAAGGTGTTTTTCTACTTTCACATTGTGACGTCACGAACTCGGAGGATTCGATTCGAGTCCTTGACCTATTACTCGGATTCGTCGAATCTCTGTAATGCCGGACTCGTCCCATCCCTACTAAGCAGCATGCATAACAATAAATGGCTTGTAAACTTCTGTCACAATCATGTTGGTTAGTGATATTTACAATAAACTAGCATTCTGGCACAGCGAAAAAAGGTATATCTGATGTTCGTGAGTGTTCTTGTCTATATTGTGGCTCTTCGCAGTATCAAAAGTACGAAATGCGGCTCTTAGGCTCTGACTGGTTGGCCACCCCTGGATTATACTGTGTGCGATATAACAAAGTTCAGATGAAGTGAACATAGCAAGAAAGTTTTAAATCTTATTCTAAAATTCTATTGATCGCAGTGATGTAGATGTTGAGCGCAATGCAAAGAGCTTGGTTGAAGGATAAAGGACCAAGACAAACGTACAGGTAGCACATAAAAAAGAATACTGTAAGAGTGCGAATTGGAAAAATGAGAATTAGGATTCCAAAAGTATTGAAAAAAATATACAATTTAACTATAAGATACAATGAGGAACTACTTAACATAACAACTTCATGTTTACAATGATTTAAATAGAATAAAAACTGAAATCAAAATTCTTGATGTCTCTCTATACTTAGAAAACCTTTTCATATTGGCAGTTGGAAACACGCTACAAGTAAATGACAATTACTAAAAAACAGGATTGCTGTTTTGTGACCATTATAAAGGTTTTTTCTGCTATGCAATGTCTATTTATGCTGTGCGTATAAATTATCATCAAAACTCAACTTCATCATCATATCTTGGATTATCCATACACGTCATTAGGAATATATATAAACAAAGACCTATAATAGCAAGTTTCTTGTAACCTTACCTTGATCAAATACATATATATATATGTAGGAAACATTAATTTAGAAAATCACTCACCGGACACAAATATGTTCACATCATCTGACATATCCGAAGTCCCCCAGCTACCGAGTTCAAAATAGAAAACAGATTCATTGAACCTGGCCTCAAGCTTCGGTAATGACAAAGAAATAGTCAACAAATTAGTGGTATTTTCAAAATTGCAAGAAACGAAATCGATTGATTCTGACTCAGCTTGTGTGTTCAGAGTGCAAGTTATATCTGCAAAACAGAATATCAAGTTAAAGACCTAAATATAGTGAAAAAAGTTTGATACAATCAGGGCTGGGGAGCTGGTTCGAAATCACATTGGCTCTGGCTTCAGCGTCACAGTATATTAAGAATGTGGTTCCAGCCTCGGCGTTTCATATTAACATCAGATCTGGGCTCAAGCTCCAGATCCATTAAGGTTTTTAAGTGTGACCACTGCCATGAAATATCTGACCAAATGCAGTTTCATGAAAGCGGCACTCAAAAACTGTGATATACCGGTAAGCCATAAGGGTTTCAAATTTCAACTAAAAACTCTCAAATTAATATAATAAAATGAAATTTATAAAAATTTACGAGGTCAAAAATATAGATTTTATTATTTATATAGCATAATACTACAAAACAAGAGAGCTGTGCTCAAATATATGGACATGTCACAAGGTGCGCTATTTTTTATTCTGACACATAAAAAACGAAGTCCACAGGAATTTTTGAAATAAGTAAAAGTAATAGCCCTCTGGCAAAAAAATCAATCTTCAAATATTGAAAATTTCAAAGCAATTGGTCCAGTATTCGAAGAGAAAAGCGATTTCATCATGACGAAAGAGAAGAACAACAACATAATATTGAAACGATCGTTATGTACAGTGACGCGTCCAATAATAAATGTGAAAAAGTGATAAGATAGTTGGAGCGTTAACAAACAGAGTTACTAAACTTAACATGGTTAGCTCGGCTCCAGCTCCACTAAAATGCCATAGCTCCACGGCGCCGAATCCAGCTTCTCATTATGCAACACAGAATTCACATTTTCAATCAAAAATAAATAAACCGTTAAATCAATTCGATAAGATATGTTATAGTTGAAATGATTAAGTGGGGTCAGGTAAATCAAAAATCTGCAAACATGAGGATTAAGTTATATGAAGTCGGATAGGGTAATCAGACGAAATATATTGCATATATGGCACGTATATATTGCATATATGGCGAGCGTTTTCGAACTCTATTCGTCAGTTTTCAGTTGTGTTTCGGAAACTTAAATATAAACCAGATAATTCAATGATCACTCTGTCTTCATAGGAGTTTTAATTTAATTGCAGTTATAAAAAATTAGTGTAGAAATAGCTGTGATAGACCAGAATAAAAACAGAATGTTGTATGCGATTAATCATAATGATGGTTTGCAACACATACCCCATTTTACAGGCGCCAACTCGCAAAAGCACTCTTAATAAAATAGCCCCGAAAATTTTGCAATGGTAAAGTATAGGAAGAATTTTTCGGGGGTCAAAGGTCGGGGAAAGGTCCATAGCGGTTAAAATATGTCAGATTAAGGTGCAGTGAGTAAAAAACTAATCATTCCAAAAATATGCAAACAATAACACATTATGATAATTCTTCATGTTAGTATGGAAGAGTATCAATAAGAACATATTACTTCATATTAGAATTTTGATGCATCTCCCTGGATCAAAAAAGCAAATGTTAAAAAAATCACTAGTTCAAAACTATTCTACTTACTGGGATCACGAGATGAGTAAAATATCCCAGTGCCCTGCAACAAACCCCCTGGCTGTAATTTTAAAGTAGGAGTTAAAGTACCAAAATGGGCACTGATACTAGGTGCAATTGTGGTTGATGTAATATTAAGAAAAGGAAGTCCAATTGCCCACATATCTTGATCTTCCTGTTCTTCATAATATATTGAAAAATTGAAATCTGTAAAAAAAGCAATTCCCAAATATAATGTACATGAAATTTACATAAAATAAATACTGATTGCAGATCAGTACCGGTATATAACATGGTCCTAGAGCACCAACTTTGTTGAAAAGATCAGCAGACAAGCTAGACGGAGGCGGCCAAAGCACAATGAAAATAAAAAACGGTTGTTACTTAATTGAATCAATTAAAGTATTAAATCAACATTTTGGTTGAAATATCACCTGCCATGAGACTCTATGGCAGTGGTTCTTAAAGTATGGGTTGCGACCCAAACATGGGTCGCGGAAGGTTTAAAAATGGGTCGCGACAAGGTCGTCAATGCAAGGGCAACCTAAGAGGAGAAGGACGAATTTTCAGCTTTCCCAATGTTTCAATTTAGCTTCTGAACTCTGGTATTTAAAAATAATGAAATATAAAATTTCATTCACGGAAAGAACTGTCTTGAGCTCATTGTTACATCACAATTCTGATATGCCAGTCACGTGTATTATTTTTATGGTATCGGTAACCATGCACGTCGCTTGTCGTTGTGTTGACCGCGCGGAATGTCGTCTTAGTGGATTAAAATAACCAAAAATGGGTGTCTTTTTGGTAATGTAATTTGTAATAGACGACGCAATGAAAAAGCTCGCTTCTCGACATTAGATTATTCAATATCTAGAGAAAATGTGACTTCATCTCGAGGCACCATTTACCACGAACGAAGCAGTGTGTGCACATTTGATGATTAAAAATTGTATATTGCGAGAGATACCGAAGGCCAGCTAGGATGTCGTGTTTGCGACGGACAGCGGACGCCTTTTCTGCTACAATTCGCGTCAAGGCACTGTTTCTAATAAATAGTTGTCTGTATTTGTGTCAAACTGTACTAACATTAAAAACACATTTTGCGTTATTTAGGATTGGGTCGCGAGTATCCATAAAACTCAAGATTTGGGTCGCGCTCGAAAAAGTTTAAGAACCACTGCTCTATGGAAATAGTACGGAACTAAAAATTGTATATATAAAAATGTATGAGTCACCTTTCTGGTGACTTTTTTTTTATCTTCGAGTACTAAAAATTGAAGTATATACGTATCTATTTGTGGCAAAGTTAAGCTATTTTTTCCCAGCAACAAAAAAAAAACACCAACAAGATTAACAATAAAAATTTAGCATCTATAGGTTAATGATAAGGAACCTTGTTCAATGAATGGGTCGCAAATTATATTTTACTTGTGGAGAATGAGGATGTGGGTCATATTTAATCAGTTTGCATCAATGAGAAATGTGGTTTTGCATTTTATAATCCTTGGTCAGAACACCTCTCCTTCTGAAAAGTTTAAAAATTGCATTCATTTTTCTGTAACAAACATAGGAATTTTTTGTGGCTTGAAATGTTTTTTAGACCCTTGAAACCGACATTCTCCAGCCTCCGACCAGACCCTCTAGTTGCCAACTTTGAAAAAAGACAGTGACACAATTCTAAGTTTTGAATTTACTAACTGCTAAACTCGAAATAGGTAGAAAAATTGAAACAAAATATTTGTTCCGACTCTGTGTTGTCTTCAGCAATTGTTGGTTAAGATTTATATACCGTATATTCTCGAAAATACGTCTATCGCGCGAATAAGCTGATTCCCTAAAAACAGCCTTAAAACGGCGATTTTATAAAAATTCGCAAATGGGCCAGTCCTACAAATCGTTACAGGTCCGACGTCTTAAGAAAGGCGTAAAGAGAGAACAACATTACTGTAACGCAAACATTTCTCACGTTTATCGTTTCTGCATGTTAGCGAGGGCTGTATCAATCAATCATCATTTTATTCGTCAGCACAAAATAGTCAGCTGTAGGTGGATTATTAATGGTACCTCCTACTTGTAAATTCATGTAAATAAAGTCTACACTGCTTTTCAATGCGTCGTAACTTGTGATAATGGAAGCGATTGTGTCGAGAGTTTAAAAAAGATTTCCTGAATTAGCATAAAACAATTTCCTTTGATCGCCCACAACAGCGGTTAATTTCGTTTCATGTCTGTTTCAAGGAAAGAAATAACACTGTATTGACACATTCTTATAAATCGCTACGAATCGTAACATGCTGGACGCCGTAAGAAAGGCACAAAAAGAAAACAAAATTACTGTAACACAAACATTTCTTCATTTATCGTTTCTGCATGTTAGCGAGGGCCGTAGGTGGATTATTACTCGTAACTCTTACTTGTAAATTCATGTAAATAAAGTCTATATTGCTTTTCAATGCGTTGTGATTTGTATTAATGGAAGGGATTGTGTCGGGAGTTTAAAAGAAAGTTCCTGAATCAGCATAAAACAATTTATTTTGATCGCCCACAGGCCACAACAGCAATAAATTTCGTTCCATGTCTGTTTCAAGAAAAGAAATAACCTGTATAACACATTCTTATAAATCGCTGATTCGGAAATTGCTATTAAAGGGATTTTCATACCTCGTAGAATGAATGTTCTTTTGTGGCATATTTACAAGCTCCATTCTTTCGATGTTGCTACAGTTGGCAATTCCTTGGTAATTCGGTAATATGGATAATTTTATTTATCATTTGATTTTCAATATTGTGTCATTACTTCAACACCGTGAGCGATGTCATGCATGATGTACCGATAAATATTTCAATCATAACGAAGGCGAAACGGCTGGCCGTAAATCGACGCTGTTGCTCTTAAGTAAAAGATAAAATCAAATTTAATCAAATACAAGCGGTCAGTGTATAAAGGTGATTAAAAGTCGGGCGGCGTTATTTGCGTTACGGCGATAGCCCACCAAATGATAACGTTTTGACCACGAAACGGCTAGCCGTAAATCAACGCTGTTCCTCTCAAGTAAAAGATAAAATCAAATTTAATCAAATGCGAGCGGTCACGTCAGCAGTGTTGACTCCAAGGAAATTATGAGTGCGAAAGTGCTTCGCAGTTGAAAAAAAAAGTGTGAAAGTGCTTTTGCCGATTTTAGCAAGTTAGGTGCCCTAGTTTCTGCTTCAATTCTTTTCAAACAGAGTAGATACTTGAAAAAGTGCTTTTTCGGTTAATATTGCTAATTGAAGAGGTGCCTTTCTGTTAACCAAGTTTCGTTTGAAAAACCCTTGTTTAAAACAAGCGAATTCTTCAGTAACAAAGGACACCTGCTAAGCACGCCTGTTGCGAACAAAACTTTGTGTAATCAAAACCAACCTGTGTCAGTTGCGAACCGTACTCCTTTCCGTGAACAGCAATGCCTCCCACATTTTTGTTACCCCTTCCATCCAACAGACAGTGATTAATACACACAGCAATCGATATTAGATACCACCGGCCATAGCCAGAGATGTGATCATTTGTACAAAGCACATGCTAAATAACATCCCCGGTCTTCGATATGGATTGACGTCGTTTCTTTTTTCATTCTATTATTTCTTTGAAAGATTACACAAATTCACTATGAAAGTCGGCATCCCCGCTATTTTGAGCGATAGGTTGACCTACTCTACAATTCAATAATAGTCATAAAAGGACTGTTATAGCTGATTAAAGACCTTCTCTTCAAACTCCCTACACAATCATTTTCAGTAATTCAAATCACGGCGCATCAAAAAGCAAGTTCAAATTTATTAACAATAATTTCGAAGTAAGTGTTACCAGGAAGAATTCACCCACGACTGTCGCTAACAGACGGAACCGATGAATATGAAAAATCTTTCAGTTGTGGTGTTTTTCCTTTCTCACATCTGTTCAATTCAAGCGCTTTGAAGCCGTTTTTTACGTTTAGAAACGTCAAACCCGATAAAGTAAGACAGGTAAATAATGTATTCTATGGAAATTTCCAGAGATTTTAGACGGAAATGCTATTTTGACCATGTAGAAATGTTATTATTGCCGATTTATTCAATCAGTATATTTAATTCAAAGCAACACTGAGTATTTACGTAATGACGATTTTGCAAAGTGTTTAATTTATTACTTATTACGAAAAAGATAGAAATCATAAAAAGTCAGCTATTATTAGCTTTATAAATAGCTTCATCACGGGGTCAGTAATGATAATATTGTTCGCTAAAAACTTGGGCCGTAAGCCCGTAATTTACAAACTGTTATCGAACCAGATGATGATATCAAAATAAAATTGAAATGTTTATGAATTCACTACCTAATAGTGTCTTTAACATCTTCGCCGATGTAAACTCATAGTTCTGATTGAAATTTAAAAAACGTCGATGTCCGCCCCTGAATTTTTACTTGTGAAAAAAAGTCGCGATTGTCACCAAATTAGAAAGTAAAAATTTCGTCTTGTTAGTTGTTACAGAGTTTTCAGTCTTTAGTAAGTTTCTATTAACTAAAAATAAAATTCAAATTATTCTATTAGAAAAAATCCTATTTTGTCAGTCTCTAATCAAGTGTAGGTAAATACTCATAGAATGACAATAAAAAGATTAACATTGAATTACCACGAGTAATAGTTTCACACATTTCATGCACATTTAATCGATGTTTTTGTGCATATAAACTTTTTTGCATATTTACTTTTCTCTTGAAATTAATTTTCACTATTTTTATCGTTTTATTTCTAACATTTGTTTCTCTCAGAAATACCTCATTTATGAAGAAGAAAAAAACGCTACGTGATTACAACTGATTGCGAATTAAATAATGGTCGAAGATTAGCAACTATATTCTTGAAATATGCATACCTAATATTCACCAAACGACTACAGTGGGAGGCGAGCTACACGAAACTCTGGAATGTATTTAACAGACGAGTTGTAAATTGTACGATTAAAGCACCGGTATTTAATTTTACCGTAATCCTGGCTGAGCGCCTCAAGTTCCTTAGACTTTCCTTTGGTAAGTTGGTTACTCGATTACACTATAATATCATTATTATACACCTATTTGGGCATCCCGGACAATTTCTAATTTGAAATAAATGAAAACCCAACAAGAACATATCATAATTAATACACAGATGTAAAATATAAACATTCATTAAAAAAGTTATTATAAG